CACAGCGGTGGTCGAGACGAAAGTGAGAAAAGATGTTTCACATGTTCTACACACCGAGGTGCTCAAACTGATAGAGAAGGGCGCTATAGAAACAGTTCCTCCCTCTATGAGCGAGGCGGGTTTTTACATCCGCTATTTTCTCGTCCCGAAGAAGGATGGTGGTCTCCGCCCCATTCTAGATCTCAGACATCTGAACAAAGCTTTAAAGGCACACTATGCAAGAATTGCACCTTAATATAACAGCTTCAAAGTCATTTCGGTGGTAAACAAACTCACAGTAGGGCGAATCATCCTGGTAGTAAAGCTTGGGGGGGACACCGCTGTAAAAACCAGCAATGCAAGTTTGAGAGGAGCGCCCCCGACAAATCTCGCGAGAATAACGACATGCTTTACGGCAACGACGTCACACACATCAACAACAATATATGAAGCACGAAGACACTTGCGTGCATTTCAGACGTGATACTCGACGATGGAAAAAGCAAAGAAAACACGGTCGGAAGAGACTAGGAAAAGGAAAAGAGAATCTGACCGCGTGAGGAACTGGAAAAGAGTCCCTGATTCGCCCTCGCTATGTGTGTGTGTGTTGTGTGAGTGAGCGCGGCTGATCAGCGCGGCTGATCAGCGCCAGCTGTTTTGAATGAGGATGTCCTATATATTGTTTTTTTTTACCTCGTCCTGTCTATGTCAAGTAGAACGCGGAAGTAGTTGTGCAAGTAGTCGATTCAGTGTCCACCACTCATCCAGCCAAACTTTACCAGCATTGGGGCATTTGGGCCTCACTTCTAAAACAAACCAACTACTAAGGATGGCTGGCGCGAAACAGACGTTCCGAAGCTTTGCGAGATCCCGAAGCAAAGATGATTCGAAACACTGATCCGAAGCATGATTCAAAACACCCACGTCACGTGACAACGGCTAAATGAAGCGTCTAAGTGTTTCATCAGGTGGAGTGCTCCTCCGAATCAGGGTTTCATTGATTGGTCGGTTCGGGAACAAATCACACAATCACACAGTATAAAAGTTTTGTCAACGCATTTTCATATCGTGGGTTTTTGTGAGAGGAGTTTGGTTTTGAGATAGCGGATTTTTGGTGATATAGTGACATTTATAGTGCGATTTGTTTAGTTATATTTAGGATTTAATTTACATTTACACATTGACTTAGAGACACACAGAGTACATATAGTGACACATTAATAGATGCATTGATATAAATATATATATATATATATATATATATATATAGATTAATAGATAGATACATATATTACAGATACATATAGATTATTAGATAGATAGGCTACATATAAAATAGATAGATAGATAGATAGATAGATAGATAGATAGATAGATAGATAGATAGATAGATAGATAGATAGATAGATAGATAGATAGATAGATAGATAGATAGAAAGAAAGAAATGGAGGCTCCACAGAAGAGATGCCGTACATCTGTGGTGTGGGAGCATTTCCATTTGGAAACCCCAAATAAAGTGAGATGTGTGTATTGTGATCGGCAGCTAGCCTACTGCAACAATACATCATCCAAGATGCGCCATTTGAGGAGCATTCATCCTGCCATTCTGCAGGGTGCAGAGGATGGTAGTGTTCCCCCTGTACCAAGGCCTGCTACTGACATCCTGCCAAAGCCCTGGATGCTGAAAAGCACATCACACTGGAGTGTGCTTCACTGATGCGTTCAAACACAACTCCTGGTGAGTTTCAGTCTATGTTATCTTATGTAATGTGATTCATGAAATTTATACTTCATATGTGTTGTCAGTTTATGATTTGTTACTAATTGCCGTTTTCTTTTAATTCAGAACCACAAATGTCAACATCAGGCCCATCATCATCAACACCAGTTGAAACACAAGACAGTTTATGGGAACATTTTGACAATCGTATCCGTGAGACCCAGATGATACACAATCCTACAGCTGATGCCACAGTGGAAGTGAAAAAATACCTCAGCGATGCGTTTTTGCCCAGAACTCATGATCCTCTAACTTACTGGAAAGAGAGAGCAGTAATCTTTCCTCATTTGTATGTCCTAGCTAAAAAATATCTTTGTATGCCAGCAACAAGTGTCCCTTGTGAGAGAATTTTTTCAAAGGCTGGAGAAATTATCTGTAAAAAAAGAAGTAGGCTGAGTCCTTCAACAGCAGAGAAATTAATATTTTTGAATAAAAATCTATAAAAAAGGGAGACATTGTGGCTTGATTTATTTTTATTAATATTCATTTTTCATGACCAAAATCACATTATGCAATGTGAAGAGACTACAGGTTACAAGCTTCATATATTACAAAAATACAATAATAAAAAATAAAAAAAAACACATTTTTTTATTAGCTCTTTGTAAAGGTTGTTTCAGATCAACACCTGCAAGTGACCACTAGGTGTCACCGTGGAGACGGGTTTCAGATTGATTCGAAGCCTCGAAACAAAATGGCACATTTGCTTCGACTGTTTCATTGCTTCACGAAGCCTCGATCTGCCCATCACTACCAACTACATCGAGACAATGAACGGATTAAATACAGCTGGCCCATTTGAATTAACATTTTCACTAAAAATCGCTGGCTCTTGGCCAACACACCAAAAAGATCCCAAACATCATAAGTAAGCATTAAAACCACTTCTCATTAATAATCAACCTACCAGAGCTTGTTTTTTCAGCGACCATGCCAAACAATTCAGGTACTGCAACCATTCCTCTCACAGGAAGTGGCATATTTAAAGGGAAATTACACCCTCTACAGATATCCTCACCAGCGCCCCCTATTGACTTGGCTACAACTAATTAGTTCTATTTCCTGTCTGAAAACCTGCTAATTAGCAAATCCAGGTGATTGGAACAAAATACTGAGTGTGAGGTGTGTCGGAACTAATTATCAGCCATGTAACTTGCCATTTTGTGACATCTGGATTCATTTTCTACTCAAAATGAAACATCCATACTCAAAAACGATCTGTCAAATGTTACAGATTGTAATTACACACATGTAATAGGCAGCTACTGTTACACATATGTAACAAGCCGAGTCTGTTACATATGTGTTACAAACTTGGTACACTGTAATTATGTAAGAAAGTACTTAGTACCACACAATGTAACAAGAAGTACTTAAATATATTAGGCTACTAAGGTCTGCAGTTACACATGGTAAATGTGTACATTTTGTAGCATTACATGTATGTAACATAAAATAAAGTGTATCAAGATTGTACTTGAGTGCAATTCATGTGTATCTACATACCTTATCCATCTTAAATAACCCACTAGTTCACCGCTAAAATACATGCATTAGCTTCCTAATTACATTGCAACTACAGAATATTACACAGGTATAAGCTACGTAAAATAAAGTGTATCAAGACTGTACTTAAGTGGACTTCATGTGTATCTACATACCTTATCCATATGTACCTTAGTTTATATTAACTCTCTAGTTCACAGCTTAAATACATGCATTAGCTTCCTAATTACATTGCAACTACAGAATATTACACAGGTATAAGCTACGTAAAATAAAGTGTATCAAGACTGTACTTAAGTGGACTTCATGTGTATCTACATACCTTATCCATATGTACCTTAGTTTGAATTAACTCTCTAGTTCACAGCTTAAATACATGTAATAGCTTCCTAATTACATTGCAACTACAGAATATTACACAGGTATAAGCTACGTAAAATAAAGTGTATCAAGACTGTACTTAAGTGTACTTCATGTGTATCTACATACCTTATCCATATGTACCTTAGTTTATATTAACTCTCTAGTTCACAGCTTAAATACATGCATTAGCTTCCTAATTACATTGCAACTACAGAATATTACACAGGTATAAGCTACGTAAAATAAAGTGTATCAAGACTGTACTTAAGTGGACTTCATGTGTATCTACATACCTTATCCATATGTACCTTAGTTTATATTAACTCTCTAGTTCACAGCTTAAATACATGCATTAGCTTCCTAATTACATTGCAACTACAGAATATTACACAGGTATAAGCTACGTAAAATAAAGTGTATCAAGACTGTACTTAAGTGGACTTCATGTGTATCTACATACCTTATCCATATGTACCTTAGTTTGAATTAACTCTCTAGTTCACAGCTTAAATACATGTAATAGCTTCCTAATTACATTGCAACTACAGAATATTACACAGGTATAAGCTACGTAAAATAAAGTGTATCAAGACTGTACTTAAGTGTACTTCATGTGTATCTACATACCTTATCCATATGTACCTTAGTTTATATTAACTCTCTAGTTCACAGCTTAAATACATGCATTAGCTTCCTAATTACATTGCAACTACAGAATATTACACAGGTATAAGCTACGTAAAATAAAGTGTATCAAGACTGTACTTAAGTGGACTTCATGTGTATCTACATACCTTATCCATATGTACCTTAGTTTGAATTAACTCTCTAGTTCACAGCTTAAATACATGTAATAGCTTCCTAATTACATTGCAACTACAGAATATTACACAGGTATAAGCTACGTAAAATAAAGTGTTTCAAGACTGTACTTAAGTGTACTTCATTTCTATCTAACCTTATCCATCTGTGCCTTAGATTGAATTAACTCACTAGTTCACAGCATAAATACATGATTTTTGTCATCAGCACAGTCCGCTGATATCTGCATACACTATTTGACTGTAGCCTGTTCATGGACAAGTGATTTTTGAGTGCTAAATAAACAAAGCATAAGGCTACAAATTAAATATACCCAAACTTTAAGTGTACCTACCCTTTTTAGCCACCTGCCTGCCAATACAAATAATGGAAATTAATGAGATGTGAGCAGATTTTTACAATTCAAAACTTTATTCTGAAGTTTTAAAAGATTGCAACACAAAAATAAAATGGCTTTTTAAACATTGTTAAGCAAAACATGTTACTGGGACTGATTCAGAAACAAATAATACAATAGCCCCAATATAAAACAACTGAAAAATAAGGATCTTATCTATATTTATACTTGATTGGCAGAAGCTTGCCTTTCGCTTTTAGCTCTTCAATTTTAGCACGGACCTCTGGAGTCATTGATTCCGCACAACGCTTTGAATAATCTAAAAGCTTCTCTTTTTTGAGATTAAATGGTGGGAGGCTCTTTAAAAATTTTGGAGCTGCGATTGTAATTTCAGCCAGGGGAGCAGACAGAGCCAGTGTGTTACGATCCACACCAACAATTCTGAAGGCCTTATTCATGCTCCCCTGACTCTTGTAGGCCTTCACAACTTTGTGGTACCGACGTACCACATCGTCAATTGTGCGAGCTGCAAAGAAAACAAGAAAAACAGAATTATAAGCCATTTACTTTAAACTGACTAGAATAGGACTGAAATTATATATTAAATAGCATTGCTTACTCCCACCCAATTGTCTTAGGCAGCATTGTAAATGATCAAAGTACAGACAAGAATCAATATAAGTGTGTGTCATATAAACTGCCAGCCAAACAACTTGCTTATATACATGCATTGAATATATATATTTATTCAATGTTGTTTAATATATGAAAACATATTTATTAAATGTTATCCACATGAGAGTTTCTCCTCATGAAAGAGTGTGGATCTGTGGAATGTGGAACTGTGACAAGATGATTGACAGGGCAGTTTAAACGGTGACAGGATGCACATAACTAAGCAACAGAGCTGTCTGTTAAAGATGATGAAGTATTATGTCCCAAAGCTGGTTACTACTACATGCCTCTCATACATACTCAAATGTATGTACTTTTTCCTCACAAAAGGAGTATACTTTTAGGGTGTAGTATATGAAGGCGAATTGAGATGTTGTATTGAATTGGGTGTGTTCAATGAGGACATATGAAATGTACAGTGTTGGGGGCTACAAAAACAGGGTTTGGGAACCACTGCAGGCAGGGGCGTGGCCATCATTTCAAAAGTGAGGGGGACAGAATGTCAAGTGTAATACCAGTTTTATTTTTCTTCAGACTTTTGTTGACAGATTTTTGCTTAATTGGCTTAATATGCTATTTATTTTAAAGCAATAAAGCAGAAAAAAATAAAGAAAGTTGTCCAGTACTTTATATTGCACATGCAGGATTTTTCCTGGCTTAAAACTAGGCGAAGGTGGTAAAATCCTGATCATGTATTTTAATAAGATAATAAAATGTGTATTTTTCATAGACCATCATATAGTCTACTGTTTTACCACAGTATTTTCGTAGGTGGATCTCTGTACCTTTAGGGGGGTCCGGGGACATGCCCCCCTGAAAGAAGATTTTGTACATTTTAAAGATAAATTCACTAATCAGGTGCACTTTGAGTGCCCCGAATCCGCTGTTAAAAATAAATAATCCAACTGCCCAAACATATGATATTCTCTGATTTAGATATCTGATCATCGCATTACAATTATTCAAATTATCAGTGTTAAGCATGATAATATGGTTAAATATCACACTGAAGCTGATTTAAAAATAAAATTTACTTAAAATAAAAGTTCTTCTTTTGGCAAAATTACATTTTCTTACTAGCCTAAACAAAGTCTGTCTTACTAAACTAAAACTTTCCAATTGAAAACCTTCAAACTTCAAGCTTTTAAAACTACTACAAACTTACAAACTTAAATTGAAGGGCTTTGATAACATATCTGTGAAAATAAAATGCATTACGAGTAAAAAAAGATTGAAAATATGGCATGTTTGTTCGGGTAGTGAATTTACAACAAAACCTGTTAATTATTCAACAAGAGAAATAGGCGGAGTTATTCATCATTGTGCAACACAATTCGGATACTACATGACAACTTACTTACAGTGCTTGACTTTTTCGTGAAAAAGGAGTGAAGAGTTTTTTGCCATTTTGAACTCTATGAAACTGATGGATTCGACGCGGATGCGGGTGTGTCGTAAGCTAATGCACGAGTGACTGATTACCATGGAAACGTGAAGTCACGTATAGACTATCCTTGACTCTTTTGATTTTAAATATCGATGTATACACACCCGTGAAAACCTCAGCTTGTCGTTGAAACACTTGCCCTATGAAAAAGTGCGGGGGACGAATTTACATTGTATAAAAAGTGGGGGGGACACGTCCCTCCCGTCCCCCGCGTAATCTACACCCATGACTGCAGGTAAGAACAGGAGGATTCTATCAATAGTAAAAAAAAAAAAAAAAATGATTAGGGATGGAGCTAAACTATACAGGCCCACCAAAGTCAGATTTGAAGAACACTGTTATCCAGTATGTGCACTCTACTGTGAACTTTCCTGTCTGCTGGCTAATCTACTCCAGGCTATCCCATTATTTCTGAAGATAAACAAGAAACATGTGAGGTAAGCCCAACAACATTCTAGCAAATTGCATATTTACAAAACATTCTTAGAATCACAATCATGACTCTTTTACACATTTGTATTTAATCATTGTATCTTGTTATTGTGATGTAAATTTGATGTTAATTGAAATAGTCTTATGTATTCATATACTAAATATAATAAGACGTTGGCAAGCCTAGGAAGGTGTGCCAAGGGATAACCATTTCAAATGATAAGTGCAAGGAGTGTTGAATAACTGTATCTGCATGCTGAATTATCCCTAATAGTAGTTATTCCTGTTAGAAAAAAAAAGGTAACACTATGGCCCTTAATTGCAAAATGGTTGCCAAACACAACAGTACCTCTCGCCATTGCTAGAGGATGACAGTGCTCCTTTTTACTCTTCTTGCGGGATTTCTTCATTTTGGAGAACGAAGAGGATGAAAGTGAGGAGCTTGAGGTCGACTTGAAGGTGGAGCTGGAGGTGGAGCTTGAGCTGGAGCTGGAGGTGGAGCTGGAATCATCTGAATCACGGGATTTGTACTTTTTTGACTTCCCTGCCAACCCAAAAAAAAAACCATCACATTATAAAAATTAACTTTTTTTGTGAACTGGTTTTCATTTGTATTCAAGTGCCTTCAGTTCACACCATAAATAAGCCTAAACTGCCAGTCATTTTTTTGTTTTGTTTTTTACTGTGGATGTATTTGAGCTTTGGCGCTAGAACTAAAGCTTGCATGCAACATTTGTTTAGTTTGAAATGAAATGGGTAATCAAATTGTCCTTGATATTTTGACACTTGACAGACTTTGCAAAAATGACTTATTTTAAAATCAGCCCCATCCTGTTGTCGCAAAGCAGTTCTACATTTCATTCCGCTTACATCTTAACAGACCTCACCCAGCCATAGTCACCAACCTGTTCTTGCCCTCAATTTTTTCTTCAAAATGTCAATTTCCTCATGCATTTTCTTAATTTTTTTCCGCAGTCTTTTATTTTTCTTCAGCAACTTCAGGGAGCTGGTTTTATCTGCAATCAACAAAATATTCAATGTAGAGTTAAGGCATATTTATGAAGCACTTAGATTTCCACTTTAACCAAAGCGCTAAATAAAGATTTCAATAAGAGATAAAAAAAGATAAACAAAGGTTATTTGACAATGCCATTTTAACATAAGATAAAAAACATGATGTTAAAAATAATCTACTAAATTAAAATCAGTGACATTGTCTGATAATAAAAATGAACTTGAGAAATCAATGTTAATAAAATAAGCAATGTATGGGTAAAACCTAAAGTGTGGTCCCGTTTCTGTGTACCAGTTAAAAATCTAAGGCACATATCTATATTTCAAAATTTCAATTGAGGAATGCTTGCATTCTCAGAATCAAGACCGAATACAATGATTAAACTCTTACCACTGGACAGAACCATCTCATCACACTGTACACTCTCCTCGCTGGACACATTATCTTCATCTAGCATGATCTGGTCTTCTCCATGCTTCTCTACTTGTTCAGCAACTTGTAGATCTTCTGTCACATTTTTGGGGCTCTCTACAATCTTTACATCCATACTTTTTTTCATTTTCTTTTTCCCTCTTTTGCTGGCCATGGTGGACCTGGGTCAGAATAAATAGTGATCCACACAGCAGATATGATATAAACCACATCATTAAAAATGTTTGGCTATGGTATTTAATATTAAAATCAGTGAATGTACTTTATTTTTATTAAAAGTAAGTATATGTATATATCTATCAAGATAGAGAGAAAGAGATAGATACATAGATAGAGATACACACACACATATATATATATATATATAGAGAGAGAGAGAGAGAGAGAGAGAGAGAGAGAGAGAGAGAGAGAGAGAGAGAGAGAGAGAGAGAGAGAGAGAGAGAGAGAGAGAGAGAGAGAGAGAGTCTGACCATTGACTGTAGTGGTTATCTGACATTGCCTATTGTAAAGTTTATAGTAAAGCAGTCAAATGAGACAATCCTAAACATAATTTAATACATCTCACATCAATATATTATCTAAATATGTACTGTATAGCAACAAAAACACTTATACCATACCTACAGTATCTTCTCGACTAGTACTCGTTTTGCAAGCGTCTCCAGACTCCAGACGATTCCTTTTTTTAAACGTTATTGTGTCACGTGGCAATGCGGTTGACCTACAGAAACCGCGCACGCGCAGGTTGGCGGCTAGGCGCGGCAGCGCGGGATTTCAAATATGGTGTCTGTACCATTGCCACAGCACAAACAAAATGACAAGATAAAGCTTATTAAATGGATGCAGCGAAATAAATTATTGGCCCCAAAAATGCGATGTGGACACTGCAGAAGAAAAATGAAGTTCGTGAAAGACAACAGAAAAGATGGATATACCTGGTAAGTGGTTTGAAAAAAAAAAGAGTCATTTATTTATTTTTAATTTACGGATCACTTTAGTACCATTAATCTTTTTCTATCTTTTTTTTAAAAAAACAGGGTGTGCAATCGCAAACAGAACCACACCCAAAGGAAGAAAAAATCAATCCGGACCGGATCAATTTTTTCAGGATCCCATAAAGAACTTCATCAATGGTTGATGTTTATTTACAGGTAATTCACACAATTATATATATATATATATATATATATATATATATATATATATATATATATATATATATATATATATATATATATATATATATCATTAAACTCCACAACATGCTTTAGAAGTCATCAGACATGTTTAGGATTTCCGTGGTTCTGTTTGATCAGATTTAAGGCCATATAAAGAGGATAAAATAGCTTAATTATTATAGCAAAATTCTTAATTATAATATTAAGTGTTATTAATTTTTCCTGCCGATGGAAAAACAGAGAAATGTCGATACATGTGATTTCCAAGTCAAAATGCTGCGATGTTGCACATTGTACTGGCTCGTGGAATTGTGTTCCCGTTTTTTTATTATTATTGTAATATGTTATATGGTTGTAAAAGGGCATATTTTATGTCCCTCGATCATCTGTGGTAAAAAAAAAAAAAAAAAAAAAACACGAAGAAAAAAAAGAAGACCATGTCAAAATAAGAGTCCCAGTGAATTTCTGGCTTGTTTACAATTATGCTTGCAGGTTTTTTTTTTTTTTTTTTTTTTTTTTTTTTTTTTTTACTGGATATTCTTTTGTTTATAAAATAAGCTATTTCTGTGGCTCCTCCCTGAGCCACCCCATTACAGGAAGGAAATACAAATAACATTATCTAACAAATTCAATTATATACAGTAGGTATAGTAGTATCAACAAAATAATCTATTTGTTGTGTTTCTTTAAACACAATTTTATACTAGGAAACTAAAATATCATCAACCTCTAATTAGTATGTATTGATGTGTTAGTACATAAACCAAGTTTATTATGTAAAAATAGAATACAAATGTCTTGAGTTACTTGCATTTACCTTGTTCTGCAGTTGAATGTATGCCCCAACCATAGACCCCAATCTGAAAGAATCTGATATATATGATTTATTTCCTTATTGTATGGGTTTGCTCTGTATGAACATGTGGTATTTATTTGTGCAGGCTTAAAAACACTGATGTTCTTGCTCAAATTAATTTTGGAACATTTAAAAAAAAAAAATCTAATAGTTTTTTTTTTTTTTTGCAAGCATGACAAAAATCTATAAATATATAACATGCCTCATAATTTAGGTTATTTAAAGGTACCATTGGCCTTTTTCAGTCATTTTATTATTGTTAATTTAAATATAAAATTAGGAATAAAGAAATTTCATTATGTTACTTGTGTGATTTTAACTGCTGTGTAAATGCATTTATGCAACATCTGGGCAGCATTAAACAATTTGCCACTACTGATGCAATTTTAAGTATTTTGTTTTTATATAAAAGATGGGACAGATACATTATATAATGTTAGTAAAAACAAATCCCCTGGAAATAATTTTCATTGGGAAAATGTCACAAACTTTAATTTATGACATTGGTAAGGTTTTCAATTTTGTAAATACTAACTTTGTTGTTTTATAGGTTTGCTCAAGGATTGAGACTACGCCAGATTGACATGATGGAAGATGGAGTGGCATCCAGTTCAACAACACTCTCAAAAATGAACAAAAAGCTCAGAAAGGTAAGCTTAAGTGTTAGTTTTGATTTGATTAGTTTTGGATTCTGTTCTGTTATCATGTAAATTCCCATTTCGTTGAATACAACTCTGGTGTGCATCCTGGGATTGTTGAAAAATTTGTAAACAAATCAAGTTTAGAGTACATATGCTTGAAACTAAATATGATGTTAATAGTTTGCTTTTTATGCTTTCTAACAATGGTTTTTAATTAAAAGGTGTGCACAAATGCATTGAGAAGGATGAAAAGAAAGCACCAATTCAAAATTGGAGGGCGATCGAGACATCGTTTCGTTGTAATTGATGAGTCAAAATTCACTCATAAAAGAAAGGTAAAAAATAAAAAGTCAGCTCAAATCTAGTTAGTAATTAGTAATTACTAGTAATTTAGCATAGCAGAACTGCATTTGGTTAAGATTTTATGTGTAAACGATTAAGATGTATTGTGTATTTGTGTATACATAACTGAAATTATGTATTTCTTATAGTATAACCGTGGACGTTATGGTGGTACTTGGGCAAGACATGGATGGGTGTTTGGCCTGTTAGAAGTACACCACAGTAGCCGAAGGCCTGTTCTTAAGCTGGTCCCTTCACGAGCACGCACAACTCTGATCCCAATCATTAAACGGCATGTTAGAAGCGGTTCAACAATCTACAGTGATTCCTGGCGGGCATATGTACAGTCCCTCACTACAGAAGGATATCATCACTATCCGGTAAACCACAAGAATAACTTTGTGGATCCACAGACTGGCAGCCACACTCAACACATTGAGAGATACTGGCAAACAATTAAAGGACAAGTGTGGAGATTAAGGGGGAACCGTACTGAGAAAATGCTGAAGAGCCACTTGAAGTTTATTGAATGGACATATTGGCTAGGAAAGAAAAGCAAGAAAGGCATCTTTGGAAGGCTCATTCACGACATAAGTCAAAAATACAGAGTATGAGTCCATTAGTTTTGACTTCTGTCCACTGACCTCAGTGGACTTTCAAGAATACACTTTAGAGTGTAGATTTCATTTATAAAATATGTGTTCTCATTAATGTTTGTGAAACATTGTACATTTTAGCAGTTAATTATATGTTGTATTTGAAGGGGGAAAATAAATTTAGAATTTGACTTGTAATTTTGATAATGTCACCTTTTGTGTGCAGGCAGGTGGGTGGAAAGGGTAACACCACATCAATTCAACTCTACACTATTGAGTTAAAATACAGTATTCTGTAATTGTAATGTAGTTGGGAAGCTACTGCTTGTATTTATGCTGTAAACTAGTGAGTTTACCCAAACGAAGGTACATATGAATAAGGTTAGATAGAAATGAAGTCCACTTAAGTACAGTCTTGATAAACTTTATTTTACGTAGCTTATACCTGTGTAATATTCTGTAGTTGCAATGTAATTAGGAAGCTATTGCATGTATTTAAGCTGTGAACTAGAGAGTTAATTCGAAATAAGGTACATATGGATAAGGTATGTAGATACACATGAAGTCCACTTAAGTACAGTCTTGATACACTTTATTTTACGTAGCTTATACCTGTGTAATATTCTGTAGTTGCAATGTAATTAGGAAGCTATTACATGTATTTAAGCTGTGAACTAGAGAGTTAATTCAAACTAAGGTACACATGGATAAGTTATGTAGATACACATGAAGTCCACTTAAGTACAGTCATGATACACTTTATTTTACGTAGCTTATACCTGTGTAATATTCTGTAGTTGCAATGTAATTAGGAAGCTAATGCATGTATTTAAGCTGTAAACTAGAGAGTTAATTCAAACTAAGGTACATATGGATAAGGTATGTAGATACACATGAAGTACACTTAAGTACAGTCATGATACACTTTATTTTACGTAGCTTATACCTGTGTAATATTCTGTAGTTGCAATGTAATTAGGAAGCTAATGCATGTATTTAAGCTGTAAACTAGAGAGTTAATTCAAACTAAGGTACATATGGATAAGGTATGTAGATACACATGAAGTACACTTAAGTACAGTCTTGATACACTTTATTTTACGTAGCTTATACCTGTGTAATATTCTGTAGTTGCAATGTAATTAAGAAGCTAATGCCTGCATTTAAGCTGTGAACTAGAGAGTTAATTCAAACTAAGGTACATATGGATAAGGTATGTAGATACACATGAAGTACACTTAAGTACAGTCATGATACACTTTATTTTACGTAGCTTATACCTGTGTAATATTCTGTAGTTGCAATGTAATTAGGAAGCTAATGCCTGCATTTAAGCTGTGAACTAGAGAGTTAATTCATACTAAGGTACATGGATAAGTTATGTAGATACACATGAAGTCCACTTAAGTACAGTCATGATACACTTTATTTTACGTAGCTTATACCTGTGTAATATTCTGTAGTTGCAATGTAATTAGGAAGCTAATGCATGTATTTAAGCTGTGAACTAGAGAGTTAATTCGAAATAAGGTACATATGGA